AGTAAGCCAAGCATTCACGGGGAACGTGAACTGTGAGCAGATGCAGGTCCAGATGCGAAGGGAAACACACAGGCTGCTAGCTCAAAGAGCGTAGCGTCTGCTCAGAATGCTCATCGCAGAGGAAATAAAGGTTTCATAAAACCGGATACCAAAAGCCCAAACCATAAAGGACAAAAATTTGACTAATTAGATTTTGTTAAAATAAGGACGTTCTGTTCATCAAGAAAAAACTTTAAAAAGTGAAACTCCACAGAGCAAAAAAGTTATTTGTGACAGGCGACAGACGATTTGTATTTGGAGTAGACACAGAACCACTACGGATCAGTAACAGAAAACACACAAGAAAAATGGTCAAAAGTCAAACAATTTACAAAAGAAGATATTCGAATGGCCAATAAAAATATGAAACAATGCGCTATTAACCGTCAGGGAAATACACGATTAGCTCTGAAGGAAATACCTTTTCAAACTGAACCATAATAGCCAAACAAACAAACAGCAGCTAAAACTCTCGCACGCTGCAGGCAGGAGTGTAAACTGACTCAGCCACTTCGCAGAGCGCTCTGGCAGCATCTGTTGAAGCTGAATATGGGCAAACCCTGGGACCCCGAAGGGTCACTCTGAGAAACGTGCAGGAGGGAGCAACCCCTGAACAGGAGCACAGCCGGGAAGGGGAGGCCTTGGCCTCAGGCACAAAATTGGCGCTAGCAGGTGGGGTACCAAAAAAAAATCAGTAATCAAGACAAATGATATTTCAGTGCAATATTTACAAAGATACAAATTAATGCAAAAATCCATACTGAACAAGATATCAACATTTCAAAGGGAGGACCAATATCACAGAATTTCCTTTTGTCTCAGGCTCTGATGTGACACAGTCTGGCTCTAGCCAGCACTGTTAGTGAGGACTGAAAACTGAAAACGCCCAGTGGCCCTAGAAGGGACACATGAATGTTGGGACACTCAATGGCATCCACCTCACAGTGAGTGTGAGCTCTGGCGTGGTGAGCGTGAGTTGTAGTGCGGTGAGAGTGAGCTGCGGTGTGGTGAGTGTGAGCTGCGGCGTGTGAGCTGCAGTGCCGTGTGAGCTGTGGTGCAGTGAGAGTGAGCTTCAGTGTCGAGTGTGAGCTGTAGTGTCGTGTGAGCTGTGATGCTGTGTGAACTGTGGTGCAGTGAGAGTGAGCTGTGGTGCAGTGAGTGCGAGCTGCAGTGCCATGTGAGCTGCAGTGCAGTGTGAACTGTGGTGCCATGAGAGTGAGCTGCAGTGCAGTGTGAGCTGTGGTGCCATGAGTGTGAGCTGTGGTGCAGTGTGAGTTGCAGTGCAGTGAGAGTGAGCTGTGGTGTAGTGAGAGTGAGCTGCAGTGCTGTGTGAGCTGTGGTGCAGTGAGTGAGCTGTGGTGCTGTGTAAGCTGCGATGCAGTGAGGGTGAGCTGCGGTGCCGTGCGAGCTGCAGTGCAGTGTGAGCTGTGATGCCATGAGAGTGAGCTGTGGTGCAGTGTGTGAGCTGTGATGCAGTGAATGTGAGCTGCAGTGCTGTGTGAGCTGCAGTGCAGTGAGAGTGAGCTGCAGTGTTGTGAGTGTGAGCTGCGTTGCCGTGTGAGCTGCGGTGCTGTGTGAGCTGCAGTGCAGTGAGAGTGAGCTGTGATGCCATGAGAGTGAGCTGTAGAATAGTGAGAGTGAGCTGTGGTTCCGTGTGAGCTGTGGTGCTGTGTGAGCTGCAGTGCAGTGAGAGTAAGCTGTGATGCCATGAGAGTGAGCTGTAGAATAGTGAGAGTGAGCTGTGGTTCCGTGTGAGCTGTGGTGCTGTGTGAGATGCAGTGCGGTGAGAGTGAGCTGCAGTGTGGTGAGTGTGAGCTGCAGTGAGAGTGAGCTGCATCACGGTGAGAGTGAGCTGTGGTGCGGTGTGAGCTGCGGTGCGGTGAGCGTGAGCTGCGGTGCAGTGAAAGTGAGCTGCAGTGCGGTGTGAGTTGCAGTGTGGTGCGAGCTGCAGTGTGGTGAGTGTGAGCTGTGGCGCTGTGTGAGCTGCAGTGTAGTGAGTGAGCTGTGGTGCCATGAGTGAGCTGTAGAATAGTGAGAGTGAGCTGTGGTTCCGTGTGAGCTGTAGTGCTGTGAGTGTGAGATGCAGCGGTGTGGTGAGAATGAGTTGTGGTGCGATGAGTGTGAGCTGTGGTGCAGTGAGAGTGAGCTGCAGTGCGGTGTGAGCTGTGCGCGGTGTGAGCTGCGGTGTGGTGAGCATGACCTGCAGTGCAGTGAGTGTGAGCTGCGGTGCGGTGAGTGTGAGCTGCAGTGCGGTATGAGCTGTGGTGCGGTGTGAGCTGCGGTGAGAGTGAGCTGCAGTGCGGTATGAGCTGTGGTGAGAGTGAGCTGCAGTGTGGTATGAGGTGTGCAGTGTGAGCTGCGGT